CTCCATCATGGTCCTTATTCACCCTTTGGGTTTTTCACAGAAGAGAAGTAATATAACACTTAACCCTATATGTCTGATTTATTTCACTCAAGATTTTGGCATATCCATTTTCCTACAAATGATTCGAGTTTATCCTTTATGGCAGGATAGTACTCCCGTTGTGTGTACATATCACATTTTATTTATCCATTCATCTTTTGATGGGTGTATGGGATGTTTCCAAGATTTATTTATTAGAAATTATGTTGCTTTAAACATGGGCACCTATATGTCAATGGGGTATAATGCTTTTAACTCTTTCAGAGAGGTTTCAAGAAGGGAAATAGTTGGGTCAAATAGAACCTCCAGTTTTATTGTTTTGAGAAATCTCTACACTGATTTCCACAGCGGTTGTACCAATTTGCATTCCCACCAACAGTAGAGAAGGATTCCTTTGTCCCTATAGCCCTGCCTGCATTTGTTAGTGGTTGATTTCTTGATGATAGCTACTCCTGTAGAGTGACATGGGCTCTCAGTGTTTGAATTTAATTTGCATCTCTTGAATGACCAGTGATTTTTTTTTGAGCAATTTTTAATGTATTTATTTTCTGTATGTATTTCTTCATGTAAGAAATGTATATTCATTTTATATGCTCATATTTGGATTGGGTATTTATATTTGGGGGAGTCTGATTTATTTGAATTCTTTATTCTAGATGTTGGTGTTTTGTCTGAGGAATAGGTGGTAAAAAAGTTTTCCTATTCTGTGGGCTGTCACTTCATTCTTTTGATAGTTACTTTTGCTGTGCAAAAGCTTTTGAATCTGATGTGATCCAAGTTGTTGATTTTTTTGTAGTATTTCTTTGTAATTAAGGTTTTGTTCTAAAGTCTTTGTTTTTGCTTATATCTTCAAGAGTTTTACCTATTATATTTTCAGCACATTGTGTTTCTGTTTTTATATTTAGATCTTTGATTCATTTTTATTTTAGTTTAATGTATGGTGAGAGATATGGATCTGGGGTCAATTTTTGGCATATGACAGCCAGTTTTCCCAGCACCATTAAAGAGGCTGTCTTCCTTATAGTGAAAGTGTTTCACTCCTTTGTCACGGATAAGGTGGATAAGTGTGTCTGGAGTTGTTTCTGCATCTTCTTTTCAGTTACACTGATCCTGAGGTTTGTTTTTTGACATTACCATGCTGTTTTTATCATGGCAGTTTTGTAGCCTACTTTCAATTCCCAGATTGTGGTGAGTACTGCCCTGCCTTTGTTTCCTAAAATTGTTTTTGCTATTCTAGGTCTTTTCTGGTTCCATATAAATTTTAGAATTGTTTTCTCTATTTCTGTGAAATATGCAATTTGCATTTTGATCAAGATTGCATTAACACCTAGAGAGAAAGCATTCTCTCAGGCTTTCACAGAGAGCAAATTGGCCAAGCAATGGCTGTGACTCATCCACATGGCTGACACTGACAAAAGATCTACAAACTGCTATACAGGGTTTCAGGGTAAATCCTGAGGAGATTTGACTGACCTTGTCAGATACAGAAGTTACATTTTTTTGTTATATAGGTCTTGCCTTCTCTTGGTCTTAATCATCTAGCAGAAAAGTATAAATACGAGGTATAAAAAGTAAAGCCTTATTAATAATGCTGAGCTGTAAAAGGCTCAGGTCAACAACTTCTGACATTGTCAGTTCTGTGGAACACCCACTACTATTATGGACTATATTGGATTATTTTGCTGAATTCATGCACCTACAATATTTGAATGGCAGTGGAATGCCCATCTCTAACAAAACTAAACAAAAAATGAGGCTATAAATGAAGGACCATTTTGTAGTGAATATATATATATGCAAAATAGTTAGAATAGATATAAAGCTACTTTCTCTTAGTTCAATGAGAAGATTCATACCAATAGTGTTTAGACAAGATATTATGTCTGCATCTTATACTATGAATAACTGCTATGAAGACAACAATATGCAATGTATTAATTATTATAACTGTCCTACTAACCTGTTTTGAAACTGTCTTATTGCTATTTTTTTCTCAATAAAATTAATTAAATTAAAAAATTGCATTAAATCTGTATAAGAGTTTTGGAAGTACTGTCATTTTTACTATTTTGGTTCTGCCTATCCAAGAACAGGGTATATCTTTCCATTTTCTAATAATCTCTTTGGTCTTTTTCAGAGTACTGTTGTTCTCAGTTTATAGGTAATTCAATTTCTGTGTTAGATTGATTCCTAAATACTTCATTTTCTTGATGCTATTATGGAGTGTGATTTCTATAATTTCTTTCTTAGAGAATTATTCTTGGTTCAACTTTGAATCCTCTTGATAATGTAATTCATAAGTATCTAGGAATCTATTCATTTCTTTTGAGTTGTGCATCTTATTAGAGTACAGATTCTCAAAGTCATTACTAATGATCTTCTGAATTTCTTCAGGATCTATTGTGATTTTGCCATTTTTCTTCCTAATTGCATAGATTGGGAGATATATATGAGAGAGAGAGAGAGAGAAGAGAGAGAGAGAGACGGCTAAGGATTTGTTACTTTCATTTACTCTTTCAAATTCATTCTTTCCTTGTATCATTGTCATAGCCTCAATTGCATTAATTTCTACTCTGATCTTTATAATTTCCTCCCTCATGTGTGCTTTGTGTTTAACTTGCTCTTCCTCCTTTTTTTAGGACCTGAGGTTCAACATTAGGCTATTCATTCAATCTTGCTGTGTTTTTCTAATATGGAAATTCACCACAATAAATTTCCATCATATAACTACTTTCATTGCATTCCATAAGTTCTGGTGTATCATATTGGCATTATCATTCAATTATAGAGCTGTCTAATTTCTACTACAATTTAATCTGTGGCAAATTGGTTGCTCAGGAGTGTGTTATTTCATTTCCATGTGTTATTTTGTTATTGATTTCCAATTTTGTTGCATATGTTTGGGATAATTTCAGTTCCTTTGCATTTACTTAAGCTTGTTTGTAAGCAAATATGTGATCTATTTTGGAGAAATTTCCAAATGCTGCTGAGAAGAATCTGTATTCTGTTGTGGGATAGAAGACTCGGTAATATCTACTAAGTCCATTTGTTCAAATGCTTTGTTCAACTCTGATGTTCTTTGCTGTATTTTTTGTCTAGTTGATCTGTCCATTAATGACAGTGGGGTATTGAAGTTCTTTATTACTATTTGTATTAGTGCTTATCTAATTTTTCATATATATATTAGTGTTTGTTTTATATATTTGAGTTGTGCTAGTATTTTGTGCATACATATTTATAATTGTTATCTCTTCCTCTTGAATTATTCCCTTTTTGAGTATATACTGGCTTCTTTGTCCATCTGATCAGTCTTGGTTTGAAATACGCTTCTGCAAACAAAATAGTCACTTGTTTCTTTTACAAGTTCTTTTCACCTGGAGTATTGTTTTCTGTCCTTTGACTTTCAGTCTATCAACTGGTTTTTGAATTATGTTTCTTGCATACAGCATATTGTTGGTGTTTCTTGATCCATTCTGCCAATCTGTTTTGATTGGTGAATTGAGACCATTCACAATGTTAGTTATAATTGATATATATTGACTTATCTTTGTCTTGTTTTCCTTTTGTTGGCTCCCTTTCTTTCTGTTCTGTTCACTTGCTTGTTATGCCTGGTGGATTCATTCTATTGGGATTCTTGGAATTTGCTGTCTTCATTGTCTTTACCTAAAATACCTTTAACAACTTTTTGGAGTGCTGGTTTGGTGACCGTGAATTTTTTCAGTTGTTCCTTATCATGGAATTATCTTATTTCTCCAGAAATTTTGAAAGATAATTATGAGAGACACATCAATCTGGGTGAGAGGTTATTTTATGTTAGGGATTAAAATACTTCAGCTTTCCTTGACATGAGGATTTATGTTGAGAAATCTTGCTGTGATTCCAATATGATTCTCTTTATAGGATTTCTTCTTCTTCTTTTTTCTATCAACTTGCAACATTCTGTTCTTGTGCTGGATTTCTGTAATCTTGACTATTATGTGACTTAGTGTAGCTCTTTTCTAATCATGACTATATGGAGCTCTATATGCCTCATTTATTTGTATCTCAAGTTCTTTTTCTATGCTTGGAAAGTTTTTTGCTATTACTTCCATGAATAGGTTTTTGCAGCCCCTTTGGACTATCTTCTGCGTATTCATGGATTCCATGCCTTTTTTGTATCATTTAGCAGCTTTTGCATTTGTGTGTGTGTGTGTGTGTGTGTGTGTGTGTGTATGTAGTTATATGCTATTTTTAAGAGGTCTTTCAGTTGATAATTGCCAACAATAATCCTGTCTTCTAGATCTTATATTCTAGCTTCACTTTTGTGATAGTGCTGTGTACATTTTCACTAGAATGTTTAATCTCTTGAACTTCTATTTGAGTCTGTTTTATGTAATATAGCATCCTGCATTGCCCTTTCCAAGTGTGCTATTTTAATTATTATGTGTGTATATCCAAGGTCTGCCCTTCACACTACATTGTTCTATGAGGACCAGAACTGAGTGTCCTGTTCACTAGCCTGTCCTCTGCAGGTAGCGTTTGCTTGGCACATAGCAGAGCTTGATAGAAATCATGTGGATTCGTACTGGTGTGGAGTATATAGGCATAAATTTGATTGTTGGCCTCAGGCATGGCTCAAATTGTTTTGTTATGAGAAGTTGAAAGTGAAACAGTACAACCCTCCTCACCCCCACCACATATCCCTGTGTCCGACCTTTGGCCTAACTGGGCCAACTTTCATCCACTTGTCCCTACTCCCCCCACATCTGTGCTAATGGCCTCATACTAGGAGACTCTTTTTGTGGGTTGACTGCCTGCCTAAAGGCCCTTGATATGAAGTTCTTCTGACGTCAGGACAGTTTGTACCAGGAGGGGGCAGCTCTGACCACTGGAATGCTCTGAACAAGTTGAGTATTCTTGGATCCTGGCTTAGGGACCACTCATGTATTGTTTCTTCTTCTGCTCTTCCTCCTCACCTCTAGCACTTCTTTATGCCACCATATTTGGGAACGTGACAACTATTTTCCAACAGATGTATGCCAACACCAACAGGTACCATGAGATGCTCAACAGTGTTCGGGACTTCCTAAAGCTCTACCAGGTACCCAAAGGCCTGAGTGAGCGCGTCATGGACTACATCGTGTCTACCTGGTCCATGTCCAGAGGCATCGATACAGAGAAGGTAAGGAGTGTGAGGAGCTTGGGTAAACCACTGGTCTCTCCATTTTCCTAAAACTGGGGCTGAAACTCTCAGACTCTGCTGGACTCAGAATTCCTGTGGGTAGTTTTGGATTCCCAGAGCCTTCCTCCAGTTTTGATTGCTTCCAGATTGGCCTTACTCAAAGACAGGAAATTAGCAGGAGTCTCTATTTAAGAAATTAGAAAGGCAAAAATGCTTCTCCTTGAAAAGAGGGGACCTGGAAGTCTAAATGTCCAGGACAGAATTTCCCAGATCTGGACAATAAGAATCAGGGCTGTAATAAGATGGAGATGATTAGTGTCATTGATTTTTCCCTTTGCCCCAGATCCAAGAAGGTGCAGCACTGTCATGATCTTTTCCTTATTCAGTCTTTTGATATTTTGTTCATTGTAGGTTTTTTCATATACTTTGATTTTTAAAATATATTGTTTGGTATTCTTAATCTTGATACTGAGTTACTTTGTCATCCGCTTAAGCTGTGTGCATAAGGCTCTTGCCTCAGTGATCTCATCCTACTTTCAGTCCTCCTAACAGTACCAGCCATCCTTCCAAATCTCTTATAGGAGAACTGAGGAAGATAGTGGGCAAGGACTTTAGCAATGTTCGGGTGATCTTACCCATCAGACCATGCCAGAGGGGGGGCTATGCCTTAGTCAGCAGTTGACTTAGGTCTGCAGGCATCTGCGTTCCCACTTATAAAGTAAAGCATTCTGTAATACTCATATTATCTCACATGCATTTCAATAAAGTAGAGAACATTTTAGTTCTAGAAAGAATAAAAATACAATGGACTTTCTATTATGCATAAATTATCACCTTTATATATTTTCTAAAAGCTAAATTTCATGCCCAGCTCAATCCTTCTGTACTTCTTAGTCTTTCCAAACCTGCTTTCTTATTGATATGTACATACTCAGGGAATCCTGATTAGTTTCACTGTTAGAATTAGGAAAACAGAAAGGTAACACCTACACAAGGCCCATGCAAATCCATGTTCAGCTGGCTTTGGTATCAGCTCCCCATATTCCTGTTTTCTTCTGTTAGAACAGAGAGTTGAGGGTGAACCAATTACAAAGAAAAATTAAGCTGCATTTCACTGATCCTCAGCTTGCAAGGAACCCTGGTTTTGGCTTTGTTGGCACTCAGCCATGATAACCATGACACACCTCCACAGCACCAGCTTCCATTTCTTAAGCATGCATGAAGAACATTATGACTCTTTTAGGTTTCCCTGTGGCTGTCCTTTGTTACAGCTTCATAACAGGCATGGGAAGGAGTTGCTGCCTTTTTTTTTTTTGTACCAGGAATTGAACTCAGGACTTCGTACTTGCCAAACAGTACTTGTGCCCCTGAGCTATATCCCCAGCCCTGCCATCTTGAAGCAATGAGTACAAGAGTCCAATTCACTTTACTAACTGATCCAATCATAGTAAAGATTGACAAAGCTAAGATTTGAGCTCTGTTTTTGTCTGATGTCGAAATTTGTGACCTACCATACCACCTTTTAAGAAATTAAAAATCTGTATTGGGAGGAAGAAGCTAAATGAAGTTGTTCTAGTTTCCCAGACAGGCAGGGAATCATTGGGCTACACTGGTGCCTGGCTTTGCCTGTCGCCTGCCCCGCTGTACCTATTGTTTCTGCTCTACTCTGTCATCAGTGGTTGTAGGTTCTGTGGGTTCCTGCCAGCTGATGGAGCAGAAAGAAACTTTGATCTCTGCCCTGGAGCTCCTTTTTCCAGGCACCAGGATGCTTTTGTAAATCTGGTTGTCTGGAAAGAATCCTTTCCCTGTGCTTGCTGGAGGGCTGGTTGGTCAGCTGCCATGGGAGACAGCATAGTCAGCATTTGCCATCCTTCCTTTCCCTGCTTCCCACCAAGCATTGGGATTTTCTTCAGTTCCTGGTCTAAATGGAAGAGAGAATCATCAAAGATATACTGTAGTAACTCACAAGAGAGCTCACCTGGCGCGGAAGGCTGCTCCTCCCAGCAGGGACCGTGGCAGACAGCCGTTGGGGAGAGAACAAGGCCCAGGCCTCTCCCTAGTGTTCCCTTTTCCATCTTAGGTCAGAGTGGTCCATGATTCTCAAGGAAGCTAGAGAGTAAGCATAGTACTACTTGGTTATTCTGATTTTACCAGAAATTAGCTGGTAAGATTGACCACATCATCTGTTTCTCTGGACCTCAGTTTCCAAGTTTGCAGCACATGCAGACTAGATGACCTCCAAGGACAAGTGACCTTTCCAAGTCCCTCTTGGCTATCATGTTGTAGACTACAAAGTCCTCCTGGGGTCATCTCTCGCTGCTGCTGTCACAGCATGAAAGTGTGGAGCTTAAGATACTGTGCACTCATTTGTGCCAGGCACTGTGCCAGGCTCTGCAACAGCTCATGAAATTCTACATAGGAGTTCAAAACCTGAAAAGTTGCCTAAGTACAGTATTTCAGCAAGTTCATATCTCCAGAGAATGCCGAGGCCAAGGTTGAATGCAGATCTGCTTTATCCTAAAGCCCCTTCCTAGCCATGATTCTCTCCTGCACATCCAGGGAAGGTGGTGAGTCCATAGCAACACTCCCAGTGGCCTGTCAGGAGGCCCTGGACTACACAGATGGCATCTTCAGAGCCAAGCAGTAGGGAAGGTGTCCTGGAGACTCACCCAGAGCCAAGACTCACCTCTGAGAAAGAAGTTGGGGGTGCTTCACCCACCCATGTGGAGCCAGGAGACCAGAAGGATGAATGTGCCCAGTGGCTGCAGCAATCTGATTCGTCTACTGCAGAGTCCCTCTTCTCACGTTGTGCTTTGTGTGGGCTCTGGGATCAGCGCCATGAATAAAATATTGTTCCGTACCTAGACCTCAGTTGCTAGCAGCCTCTGCCAGCAAAGCCCAACTCAGGGGAAACCAAATATTTAAAAGTGTGTTTGCCTGGAGAATAAATTTTGGTTCTGAACCATCAGGCACAAATTTTGACATGACACACATGTTCCCCAGTCCTTAGGGATTTGCTTGAAGAGAAGAAAACACAAACTAAATCTGTGCTTTTGTAGAAGCCTTGTTTGTCATGAGCCTTGTGGAGGAAGGTACTCAGCAACCGTGCTGCCTGAGCCTCAGCATTCTAAGTTCCTCTCTGCCTCAGCAGCCCACCACCCCATGCTCAATTCCTCATCCTGCAAGCCCAGAGCAAGATGCAGAGGCACAGAAGGAAGGGACTGGTATTTACTGAGCCCCCCTGCTATGGCCAGGATCTGTCCTGGGCAGTGTACTAGTCAATGCAATCCCATTTAATCTTCATGGGTTCGTGTTAGCAGTATGTATATACAAGGAGAGACTGAGCTGTATAGCAGCAGAGGCTCTGGCACAGGAGGAAGCTGGGGTTTTGATTTTTGGCTGCTGTCCACTGCTCTGCTTCCATGCAGAGGGGAACAGGGGAATCCAAGATGAGGGATTGGGCAAGGTGAGATTGGAGCTAGGAGAGCTGATGGAGTCCAGAGTCCAGAGTCCAGGATGAGCTCAGATGCAGGGCACATGGCCGTGCTCGGGCAGAAGCAGCACGGAAAAGTACCAGGCAGGGAGGTACCGGCCACATTTAAGTTCCCTGCTTTGTTTACAGACCAGGGTGAGAGAAATGATTACTTTAGAAACACTCTCACTCTCCTCATAAAAAGTCCACTTGCTCACTTGAATGTGTCCTTTTGTTTTATTTAATGCTTGCTGTATAAGAGGCCATGTGATGGTTTCTTGCAGAAACTTAGACCAAAGAAAAGTATTTCCCACCAGAAAAGGTGGAGAATTTTTCATTTCTTCAGAAGATAAAACCCACATGACCTCTTACAGTCCCCACTTTGTTTTCAAAATGCTGTAGGTTAAACTATAAGCCCGTTTATTTTATGCAGCTGCCTGTCATAGGAGTTGGTCCTCCATTCTGGCTGTGAAGGCAGAAATTTAAAATTTTATATAAAAACCTGCCCAGGATGCCCAGCAAGACCAGGTACACATCTCCAGCAGGCTCTATAACAGAACATTCCTTCCTTTGTGTAAACCCCAGTCTTTACTGCCTTTTTGTAACTTACAGCCTTGCAATGTAATTTCAAATATACTGGGACATTTCCTCCTTTGTGTAACTCATGATTGTTTAACTGATGGCCTTGCAATGTAACTTGCAATATTTAAACTCCCTTAGCAACCCATGATGTTACCTAACTTTCCAATCATAATGCACCAAATCCACCTTTGTACTACCCCCACTTGCCCTCCCTATAAAGGTTCCAAAACCCCACCAGGCAAGGCTGACTCTGGAAGAGATCCCAATTAAGCCCATTGGTGTAAATAAACTGCCTCCTAACCTTCTCAGTGCCATTTCTTCCCACGTTTGATCTATTTTTCTGTAATAGCTGTACAAATTGGGCAAGTTATATACCTTCCCCATGCCTCAGTTTCCTCATCTGTAACTAAAAGATGACTACTACTTACATCATAGGGTTTAGGCAAGGATGCAGTTGGTCAATTTACATAACATTTTAAAATATAAAAATCACAACCCTCCCTGACTTTCTCTATCTTTCTTTCTTTATTTATTGTTCTTAGTACTCACCACTCTTTCCTTTCCTTAGTATTGATCTGCTTGCACTAGATAGTTTGCCTGAGGGCAGGAATGTTGGTCTCTTTCTGCTCTCACTGCTCTATCCACAGAGCCTAGAATGATGCGGGTGTGCCATGAGGTACCAGCAGTCGGACATCAGTGAATGGTTGAGCTTAAAGTGCTGAGCACTGCCTGGCACCCCACAGCCTCTCGGCGAATGTTACTTTACATTTCTTCACATTATACTTGTACTCAATCTGTCAGCCCCCACCAGCTCAAAATACATTCTTGAGTCTCATGTCACAATCACTCTGCTAGAGAACACCAGAATGTGTTCTTTCTTTGTGCTTTTAGTTTTATACCTGTTCATAACTAACTACTCTATACTTCAGAACAGCTAGAAGAAAATATTTTGAGTGTTCCTAGCACAAAGGAATGAGGAAATGGAGATGCTGATGGTCCCAATTTGATTTTCTTTTCTTTCTTTCTTTCTTTTTTTTTTTAATTTTAGGGAAGGGTGTACAAGGTGTTCAGGTTCTCACTACTAGATCTGACTCATAGTGATCCACCTGTTTACAGCCTCCCAAGAGCTGGGATTACAGGCATGTGCCACCACACTGTCTCAATTGTCATTTCAGCATGCCCCAGGGGCATGGCCGGCACAGCAGGCCTGGGACCAAATCCCAGCCCCTGTGCCTACTTGCAGGCACTTTAATCTGCTGAGCTACTTGGCCAGCCCCTAGTCTGATTTTCATATGTGGTATGCATAAGTTAAAATATCACAGTATGCGCTCAAGTAATACGGCTGTTACATATCAATTTAAATGTTATTTATTTATTTATTTTGCTTATTTACTTATAATCTAAAGTTGGCCATTTCTCATTGGCTCTGTTGCCAGCACCCCAAAGGTCTCCCCTCTCCCCAGGTGCTGCAGAAGTAGTCTAAGTGGATTCCTTGACTCTGCTCTTGCCCCCTCCAGTCTAGCTCTCTAACCCCACTCCAGGCACAATATCCCCATAACATATAAATAAGCTTGTTCTGCTCAAACATCTTCCAGTATTTCTGCACTATGAAAAAAAAAAAATCAAAGACTGAAGAGTTCCTTTGGAAGCAGTCCTGACCTGCTTGGCATTTCCCCTGGACCTCACACTCTGGCTGCTGCTCAGGCCCACCCAGAGCCTTTGTGGCTGCCATCCTGCAGGAGTGTTCTTTCAGATGGCTCATCCTATTGGGGAAGCGGGTTAAAGGTGACAGTCGTGACCTCGTGCTCTTCTTATGCTTGGGCAGGTTCTCCAGATCTGTCCCAAGGACATGAGAGCTGACATCTGCGTGCACCTAAACCGTAAAGTGTTCAAGGAACATCCAGCCTTCCGGCTGGCAAGTGACGGCTGCCTGCGAGCCCTGGCGATGGAGTTCCAGACTGTGCATTGTGCCCCAGGGGACCTCATCTACCATGCAGGGGAGAGTGTTGACAGCCTCTGCTTCGTGGTCTCAGGCTCACTTGAGGTGATCCAGGATGATGAGGTAGTGGCTATCCTAGGTAAGTGATGCCCTGACAAATAGATGCCTTCTGGTAACCCAGAGTTGGCTTAGCTATAGCCAGCTCAATGCCACTGCCACTTTCAACCACATATTGCTCCACAGGAAAGGGCCAATTGCTGTCTCCACTCATCCATCCAACAAACAAATACCTGAATGCCTATTTTGCTCTGGTTGAAGTTTGAGGCAGCTGACAAACATGGATTTTGTCCTTTAGGTACACTTGCACTATGGAAGAGGAACAAACAAGCAGGCACTTGCAGTTCAGCAAAAGGGGCATTTAAGCAAGCATTCTGGTAGGAGGGCTTCTGGAAGACCTGACGCTCAGGCTGAAATCCCAAAATTGAGAACAAGTTAGCATGAAGAAGAGAAGGCTAGAGGAGCATTCAGAGGGGGAACAGCATGTGTTCAGTCCCTGCAGAGGGAGACAGAGGCATGATTCATTTGGAGACCAAATTACTCAGTGAGTCTGGAGCACAAATCCTGGTGAGACATGAGGCAGGGGGAGGGAGCTGAGCCAGAGCCACAGAAGGCCCCTACATTTCATCTGGGGGCACAGTGAAGACTTGAAAGCAGAGGAGAAACTTCATCAAATCTGTATTTTATGAAGATGAAAGTAGGTGCTGCTTAGAAATTACAAGGGGGTAGGCGGGGAGACCAGGCTGGAGATAGTTATCTGGGGACAAGTTGACAATGGCCTGAACTAAAAGTGTGGCAGGCAGATGGAGGGAAGCAGGTGGAATTGAGATATTTAAGAAGTGGAATTAACAGAACCTGGTGACGGAGCTGCTATGGGGGAGGAGGAGTCATGAAGACTGTGGAATGTCTCACTTCGGGAGCAAGGAAACTGGCACACTAGCCCCAGTAAGAGGGAATGGAGGAGGACAGCAGGGACATTGGGGACATGTTAGTATTTGGGTTACTGAACATCATCAAGTTTTGAGAAATTTGTATTGCTTGCTGAGGGAGGTAGAGAATATCTCTTTACTGGGGCGGGGCCTCTCTGAGAGGATAAGCCATCACCAGCAACACAGCTATCATTAACGGTCATCTACTCGATGCCAAGAATTTTCTTGGCATAGAATCTGGGTATAGATACTCATTTTATCCTTGCAGAATCCTCTAAAATGGCTTTACTGTCCCCATTTTGAAGATGCAACAGTTATAGTTCAGAGAGCTGAAGGAAATACCTCATGGTTGGTGAGGGCTGTGAAGTCCCTCTGACTCCCAAACCTGTGCTCTGACCCACTTTGCCATAGTGCAGCCTAGTGATGACTAAGGTCATCCATTGGCTTGGTGTTGCCAGGTCCTGCTAGACATTGTAGATATGTGTTTCATCTTTGACATTAGAGTTTTCAGGTAACTGAGGTAGGGAGAAATTAAGTTAATTAAAGATAGAATTAATATGTGAACCACACAGAGACAAAGATGCTATATTTTTTTAACCACAAACTTTGCTCCCTCTTGACTTTGGAGTAAATGCTATGCAACTTTCTTCTTACCTCCCTTGTCCCCAGCCAGCTTGCCAGCTTGATTACATTTTGCTCAGATTAGACCCAGGATGATAAATATTCCATCAGAATTTGCTGGCAGGTGGTCAGAGAAGAACCATAATAAAGGCTGGGGTGGGGTGGAGACCAAAATGTTTGCTGATGTAAGTGCGCTGGGTTTCCTGATAACCAATGAGCACTTCAGCCGAGTTGCTCTGCTTTTTGGTTTCTGGTTACCAAGAAGTGAGACTTGACTTCGTGTGAGGAGTAGGGCTCAGGATCGGTGAGGACAGTGCTGCAGTGTAAAGGAAGAGAAAGGGCTGCTTATTAGTGCTCATTAGTGCCCTCAAAGAAGAGGGCTTTCATTGATAAAGGCTATCTGGATGTTTGCCTGGCTGAGACCAGCGAGTGAGCTCTTGAATTTGCGTTTGAGTTCACCCTGTGGTGTGAGGCATCTGTCATCCATTTTTCCGCTGGTAATTCTCCACAGGCCTTTCCAGTGAGTCTAACCAGGGGCTGAGTACTTCTGACTTTCATACTAAAGCCCAGGGTATTTTGCATGACCTACCCTAACCCCATGACAACGAAAGATTGCTTCGGACACCTAAGCATAGAGATGTGATGGCCCTGAAGAGAGGTAAAGAAAGCAAATGAGCTGGATGTGGTGGTGCAGGCCCATGATCCCAGCACTTGGGAGGCTGAGGCAGGAGGATGACTGTGAGTTCAAGACCAGTCTAGGCTGCAAAGTTCACCTGAACTGCAACTGTGGCCAACTTGAACTGCATAGCTTAGCAAAACCCTGTCAAAAAAGAAAAGAAATGACCACTACTTGCCCTTCTTCATTTCCCTCTTCTTGGCTTCTTGTGGGAAGCGACCAAGCTTTGATTCACTGTTGATTGACTTAGTCATGTGGCTGCTTCTCCAAGTTCAGCTGCTCTTTGGGCACTCCTGGGCGTCCTGCCTGCTCCTGAGAAATAAGGACCAGACCTCTGAAATAGCTCAGAGTGTTGGATTCAAAGAGTTCGGTGTTCTCAGGCTGTGCATATGAGAGAAGCATCTGTTTTCTGCAAGAGGAAGATTAGAACCCAAAAGTTGGTCCAAGCTCAGTATGCTAATGAGCCTGTAAAGAGGTTCTTGTTCTATGAACGTTCCTGGAGTTCACCTGTCCATCAGACCAGAAGGCATAAAGGTTCAAAGATGTTTGCTCTCTAGCAATTTAAGTTTAGAGTTTTGTTGTAATTGTTGTTTTCTCTCATTTTCTCAATGAACTGAAATCATTTTGCTCTTGCAAAGTGGTTTAAGTATCAAATGGGTTCAGAGATTGATCTTAATTGTTCCTTGATGCCCTTCAGTTTAGTCCATCAAAACTTACCAACACTTGCTGCATGTCAGGCACTTTCATCGGGTTGGGTAGACAGAAGTGGACTGAATTTTTTTACCATTAAGATACAGCCATAGTGGAGGTATCTGACGTTGGAAAGAGATACATACCAGTGCTTCTAGCACTTAATGATGAAGCAGTTATTGACCAGCTACTGTACAGCTGGTGCTCCAGGACCAAAGCTGTCCAGGGAGCTCTTAGTTATGGTGAGCAATGGTCTTCAGAACACAGTCTAGACCTCATCTGTCTCTTTCTTATGCTTTCTGGTCTCTTGCCATCAGTTCACTTATTTATATCTGTTAACTTATTTCTTCTTTTCTGTTCTAATATTCTATGAAATTCTCTATTTTATTGTAGCACAGATTGAAGAATGATGAAAAGTCAGTACTCATAGCTGAGTGTTTTTAACATGTGTTAAAAATAGTACCTCTTCTAATGAAAGCCTTTTAGACTTTTCATGACAGCATCCTGCCGTATGAAATATTGCATTCTTGATTGATAACAGACCTGTGTGCAGACAGCAGTACATAGCATTTCTTACTTCTCTTTAGAGAAGGCAACCTAGTGTCTTCTATCAGATTCTATTCTCTTTCATTTAAAGGTAATTGACCATCACAGCCCACTAAATTGCTTTCTTGACAAGTCTGAAGCCCACAATTTTGTGACATGGTCCCATAAATGCACACAGTATCTCTCTTGGGGCTGAAAACCCTGAGGACAGAGTATATACTAGAAACCTCTTATGATCTCCTTTATCTCTACTCTTCTATTTGAATTTTGATGTGATGTCCTCCCAATTTCCTATTGGGATTCTCTTTAGAATCATTCAATGGCATTGCAAACTAAGTTTATTGGCTAAGTTGATTAATCTAAAATAAATTTAAGTTTCTAGCATAGTGTTTTTTTCATTAGTTTTTGTTGTTGTTTTATATTTTTGAGAACTTTACAAAGGGTCTTGCTACATTTTCTAATCTGGACTTGAACTCTGTAGCCTAGGCTGGCCTCAAACTAATAGAGATCTTCCTGCCTCAGCCGTCCCAAGTACTGGGATTACATGAAGCACCACCATATTAGG